GGCCAGATTAAACTAATGGACCATAGTTTGCTGACCCCTGATCTAGATGCAAAAGAAATAGAGGACATAATTGACACTGATAATGATCTCCAAAAGATAATCCAGAGCATGTAAGGAGTATAATTTAATTGCTATTCCAGGAAGACTTTCAACTAGCCCACATGTCATGGACTGAATGCTGTGTTCCTCTACAATTCACATATTGAGTTCCTAACTCAGAATAGCCATATTTTGAGATGGGATTTTTAAGTAAGTAATTAAGGTTAAATGAGATCATAAGGGTTGGACCCTGATTTGCTAGGACTTGTGTATATAAGGAGACAACAGAGCTCTCTCTAAGTCTCTCTACCTCTATCTCACTCTCTCTCTCTCTCTCTCTCTCTCTCTCTCTCTCTCTCTCTCCCTCCCTCTGTGAACAAAGGAAAGCACAGGTGAGGTCTCATTAAGAAAGCAGCTGTCCATAAGCCTGGGAGGGAGCCCTCATCAGAAACCAAATTAGCCAGAACTTTGATAATAGTGAGAAATAAGTTTTATTGTTCAAGCCACTCAGTTTATAATATTTTGTTGTGGCAGTCTGAGCAGATTAATACACATGTAACAACTATTTAAAATTATTTGGTACTCGATTACAGAAGAGAACAATTTGTTCTATATTTGAAAATTTTCTCTAGCTGAGACCACATTTCTGACAAAAATTGGAAATCACCACCAAAAATGGCATTTGATAGCAAAGATCATGTCCAGCAGTTACAGCTTTCTTCATTTCAATAAAGTTGACCTGATATGCTATAGCTCCAGCAATGCCTTCTCAGATAAATTTATGTGGCTCACAATGGGCTATATGTAACAGAATTAGAATATCTGAGAAAATATTTCTAAAATGCATATCTTAAATATAGTTTTAAAAGCAATCTAAAAAGAAATTCCCATTCCTTCCAATTATTTCAAATACAAAATAGTATTTATGCCTCAGTTCTCAATTATATAACTGTAGCTTTTTTCCTTTAACTTTTTTTCCCTTTAACTTTGAAGTTTACCTAGTTGCCACAAAAAACACTTCAAACTCAAGAAGTCTCAAATGAAACAACTTTCTAAACCTCCATCCTATAATTTCGCCAATGCTTTCTATATTTTTAAATGGGATTTGTCCAGAAGTCCAAACCAAGAACCTGCAATATATCTGTGTTATTTCCTTATCCCTTTCTAGACTTTTATGGGCCATTTATCCTTTCCTCTAACATGTTCACCATCCCATAGGCCTTTGAGTCTCCCCCTGGGTGGGAAAACTAAAGACATCAAAGATGGCCAATTGCTCCTAACACCTTAGTCAAAATATGGTCACATGACTTCAGCCAGATGCAAAGGTTCAGAAAATGTAGTCCAGTTACTGGATAAGCACATTGGTCCTGGTGAGTTCTAGGAATATTTGCCATAATTATTATCTTTCTGGTGTATTTTAAATGCTATTTGTAGTTAATGATGCCTTCTTCTATTTTCCCTTTCTATTTTATGTATAATAAATAATTTAATATACCAGTACTTTTCATGCCTTTCTCACCTGTCACTTTCAATGTTTGGTTTATAAATTGTTATTGTTAAATACTATTTACACAAGTATTTTCTTAATATAGCTTAGTACTTATCATTAATTCTTAAACTTTCCCAATCTTGAATTTTGGATCTTGATCCATATTTCTGTCTTCTGGAGAATATTAGGAAATAGGGCCTAGATGGAGGTAGTAGGTCACTGGGGGTGTGCCTTGAAAGCTATACCTGGTCCTCTATCACTTCCTCTCTCCCTCTCTTTCTCTCTTTCCCTGCCTTCCCCTCTCTCTGCTTCCTGCCCACCATAAGGTCAACAGCCTCTTCCTCCACAGGATTCTACCTCTATGATATTCAGCCTCACCTCAGGCCCAAGATAATGGAGTCAGCCAATCAAAAACTGAGTCCTGAACCCTGAACCAAAATACATAATTTCCCCTTTAAGTTGTTCTCTTAGGTATTGTGATCACTGCTACAAATAGCTAACTTTCACACTTCATTCTTTGATACTGTGCATTTTTAACTCTGAAAATTTTTTTTCAATGTAGGTTTTAGTTCTGCCATTACTTTTTATATTTCTTTGCTTTTGTTTCTTTCTTTTTTATTTTTTTGCCTTGTTTGGTAGTACTGGCATATGAACTCAGGGCCTCACACTTGCTAGGCAGGAGCTCTACTACTTGAGTCAATCCATCAGCCCTGCTTTTCTTTCTTATTCAAAGGAGATACCTTCTCTTCTCTGTCTTCCTGTCTTTTTTTTTTTTATGATTCTAAGCACCTGATTCATAGAGGGTTCTTTTTCATAAAGTCATGTGTCCTTTGTCATTTGGGGAAACACCATGCAAATATTTTATACAACTTTCACCATCTTCTCTTAGAAATAATAGCATACAGAAAATAATTCTTCATGTAAAGTTTCTAGACCATGTTTCCCTTATGAAATATGTAACATATATTCCGCTCTAAAAAAGGAGAAATGCTTTCAGTTCCAGCTTTTCTCAATAGACAGGGAAGGTAAACTTTACTTGCCTCCAATCCTAGCTACTTCAATATCAATATCCTTCTTCTCTCAGAGGTAAATTCAAGGTTAGCAGCTTTTAATTTTGTGCTGGTCTGTTGAGCTAAGCATATGTCTTTTGTTTCTCAAAACTGTTCAGTGACTAGGAAGAAACCATTGAACTTTAAAGACCTTATTTGAACAGTGATAAGGTATACTCCTACGCATGTACTGCTCCCAAAATTTCTCAATTGATGACAAGCAACGCAAAGATACTATTTGTGTTTTGGACTCTGGACTGCGACATCTACATGAATGAAGAAAGAGAAGTGCCAAAATAGATTTGGCAAAAGGCAGGATAAGATAAAAATCTGGCACTTGTCCAGAGATATTTCCTGTTTCTGGTCTCAAGATGCCCTATAGTACACAGTAAGACATAAACAATGGGAATGAACCACTGTCTTTCCTGTCTTCCTTGGGACAATAGCTTCCGTTGGATTTCAAAGGGGATGACATATAGTACAAGGTTAAGAATGAGCATGTAATAGGATTTCATCTAGACATTGACATATAATTTATGCTCACCTTGAACTCATGGTCCTAGTCCCAATAGTTTAAATGTATATATCTAGGTATGTTAATTGGACTTGGTAGAGATATAAGGCACATTTAATAACACAAGTAAAATCCCTTTATATTTATAAGTAGAATTTGGAAGCACTTCATAATAGCATAAGGGCTTGACTTTCTAATTAGCCTGCTTACTTAAAGTACTTGTAGTTTACATGAACTTCAAATCTAACATATTGTCCACTATACTGCAACAACCACAATTAATAATACTGTAAGTAATATCTCTAATGAGAAAAAGAACTTTCACACTGGGTTTTCTGAACTTGACTGGTACTATCATTTAGGAAATATTAAAAGTTATGAATAAGCATTCCTGTGCATGAATAATTATGACTTCATTGTTAAGCATGTTTACAATTCAGAAAATAGAACCATCTCAATCCCTAGAGTTTTCCAAATCAGTTTTTAATGGTTTCCTATATAAACTCTTCCAACTGTTCTGTCACACCATTCCTTTTTAAATTTTGCTAGAGATAAAGTAGAAGCAGTACCATGCTTAAGAAAAATGAAAACAAAATTAAAATCTTGGCATTCATTTTTTCAATGTAAGATCTTCATGCAAAGGAATCCTTAAAAGGAAGTCCTATAAATTCCTAAAGTCGTGTAACTTTACATGACAGGTTAGAGAAATCGTACTTCAATAACCATAAAGAGAAATGCTACTTTTTCCTTCCAATATGTGGACTAGTGGTGCTAAACTGGTTTGGATGTATAATTTGACGTGGACTTTTAGAAAATTTTAAGCCAGCATTCTACCCTCAATCTAGCATAAACCAAGGCAAGGGTCCTTGGTTAAAGTCTTCAAAAAGAATACTGATGCAAGTAAAGCAGTAAACTACTTCCTAACTTAAACATATGATGGTTCTTGCATCTTGTTTTTAAATAATCACTGGGGCCAGATAGCAAGAAGTAGAGCTTAGGACAAAGAATGAAGAAACTGGGTAGAAGAAGAGGATAAAACCAATAGACTAGTTTTTGACAGTACAACGATTGAGGAATTGATGAATTATATCTGAGACACAGGTAGTGATTAATTTTGGTATCTTTTAAGAGCTTGTTTACATCATAGAAACACTTTGACTAAAGTGGTTGTAATCCACTGTAATCCCAGCACTTGGGAAACTGAGACAGGAGAATCTCAATTTTATAGCCCAGGATACATCCTGTTTCAACAACAACAACAACAAATAGCCAAAACCAAACAAAAAATAACAGTGAATTAGAACAGAATGAGAGCCTTGACTAAAAATTTACATACCATTCTTGGATCCTAGTGAGCCAGTCCCTAAGGAAAATATGCATATAGGCTTGCTATATGGACAGTTTACATAAAAAGGTATCTATGTGAGAATTCTAAGTGCAATTTAGTGAACTTTGTTAACAAGTTAAAAAAAATGTTTTTAGGATCTGTGTCAAGAAATTTCTTCATTTGTATTAGCATAGACCTTTCCATGGGATTATGTTACTTATGAAAGTAGTTGTTCATGTGTTAGATACTTTTATTTTACTTAGTTTCTTTTCATAACTGTTATATCAAAGTTTTGAAAAGATTTGAAAAACTATAAGTAGCATAATTAAAATATTTAAAGGAAACTTGAAAGTTTATGTTCCTATAAAAACATAGGAAAACATGTGTTTTAAAAAGTACAATCTAACACCATTAGCACCACCACAGAGAAGGTTCCAGAACATTTTATAAAGCAGAGTTTCCACTTGCTTTCTTTTCTCCCATGCTAGTAATAGCTAATGATAGAATTTACCTTCTGTCTTGCCTTCTTAAGGTCCTTTTAGATCGGCCACATTTATAATGTTCTGCACTTACTGTTAACAGCTTTTCAAGAACTACAGGGTGATGTTGAAAATTATACACTCCTTTGGAGTTCTGCTACCTCAAATGAATTCCTAAAAATCCTCCCAGATGTAAACTTTTATGTCATTGGCCACTTAAACCCAAACACAAAATATCGGATTTTTATCTCTGTCTACAATGGAGTCCACAGCATCAACAGCACAGTACTGCACATAACCACTTGCGATGGGGGTGAGTCCAGATTCTAAAAGATACTTGGCTTCAGGGATGCCAGTGAAATTGATTGATTCTTTCTAGAGTTGAGATCAATCATCCCTCCATTATAAAATTTCCGGTGTGGGAGGGAAGGGGGTTGGGCTAAAATGCTTAAGTGCTTGCTGTTGTCAAGTGGCAGATCAATAAGTGGTCCCATTGAAACAGCAGCACAAGACTCTAATAATGGGATATTAGCCCAGTTTGCTTCCATTCTGTTCAGCGAATACTTACTTTGGAGCTGAGTTCACATCAATAAATAGTGACGTTTAGGAACTATTTTTTTCTTTAAGATTTGCTCTCCAAAGCGGTATGCTTTTCAAAACAACAGCCAAGCAAGCCCGGTAAGGGCCCTCCCTGAGTCACCAGAAATGGTAGGTGGAAGTTCAGCCACTGAGAAAAATTGCCTATGACTCATTTCTAAGCCAGTTAGCAAGGAGGAGAAAGCAGGGAAGTAACTTGTACATCTGAAATGTATTTGGAATGGTCTTTGTAATCTTTTTGGCTTTATAAAGTCTCATTATAAACATTATAATATCATTACCTCCCAAGCAAGTCATTAGCAGAGCCCTTTAAGTGTGGAACCCATTTCCCTTTGTGGTGCCAAAGGTCAACACCTTTTGTTTATAAAATAGGATGAATCACAAGGACAATTTTTCAACTAGTTAAGATGGGTTCTTATGATAAAAATAGGTCTTTGCATAGTTATTTCTGACATGCTTGAATAATTGTGTAATTTAACGCTAAGCAAGATTTTTTTCTAATGTTAGATTTCATCATTACCTATGGTAATCAACATTCAGAATCATTTACATAATGACAATATTGCATTATTGCTTCATATTGCTTGAGTTACATGCTAGTAACATCAAATGATTTTTCACGTTCCACCAGCCCCGATGCATTTGAGTTTTATTTTTTGCTTAAGAAGCAAATTTCCTTTTCTTCTCTCCCCACCCCCCACCTGGGAGGTAGAGAGTGAAAGAATGGAAAAAAGACAAATAATAGATATGTGTTAGAGGTGTAGACGGGTGAATAATTTATCATCATATCCCACTGGTCACATAGTATTGAAGATTAGCGCTATGCTGATGGTATAAAGCACTTTGCCACCAATTCTTATGGTTTCTAACTGAGAGTATAATAAGCCAATTTACAGAGGATTTCAGACTGTGATAACTTCATCAGAGGGAAGCAGATAAGCAAGGAACCCTTTGCTAAGCCTAAATACTAATCTGCATTTAGTTTAACAAGTGCTTTTTCAGAGACAGCTGGAGTTTATTCATTTCTTCCTTTAATTCTAGAGCCTCAGGGCATGCTTCCTCCAGAGGTTGTCATCATCAACAGTACAGCTGTACATGTCATCTGGACATCTCCTTCAAACCCAAATGGTGTTGTCACTGAGTATTCTGTCTATGTAAATAATAAGCTCTACAAGACTGGAATGAATGTGCCTGGGTCATTTATTCTGAGAAGGCTGTCTCCGTTCACTATCTATGACATTCAGGTTAGAGCATTGTTTTCTGATGGTTAAGCTTATGGATATGTTAAATAAAACATGTTGATCTATGTCTGTAAGTTGTTATTCTCTGACCTGGCTACAGATTATTTATTTGGTGGGAATGGGAAGAGAGAAGAGGAAAATTGATCAGAATTAAATCTGTTTGCTGTGGACAAGCATGTGAATCTCTGGAGAGGGAACCATGATAAGATGGAAAACGATGGTGATGAGGATGGTGATGAAATTCTTACTGGCAAAATAAAGCTAATCACGCAATCTAAATACATCTTGCTGGTTGCCTTCTTCCTCAATCTTTTACTGATATCAATATAAGAATCAGCCTGTGAATGTAGAGATACTCTTTCTATTCCAGTTCTGCTGTTCACTAATCTAGTATGTTCAGGGAAGTGACATAACTCACATGGTGTCAGTTTTCTTTTTATAAGGGCAATAGATGAGTTAAAACTTCCAATCCACCCCTAAGCATTCTTGATTCTGAATGCAACAGGAACATATAAATGAAAACGGAGCAAATAAAAATGTTAAAGGATTTTATCTGAGGATGAGATAAGTATATCCATTCAACAGATGTTTGATGGCCCCACCTATGTAAGACAGTTATATTTAAACATTTTTGCCCTTGGAAATCTTTGAGATTCTCATGATATCAGTTCACTCTGTCCTAGAAAAATGTTTATGTACTTACATGACAAAATTTAATACACATTTCAGAGAATGTATTGACAACCCAAAACTCAGCTCAAGTAGACCTCGTTAGGGGTTTACATGACCCTAAAAGTATAAAAAAAAATCTGGACTACTAAGCCATATAAAAAACAAAACTTATCCTTAAGGAATTAGAAATCTTATTCAAATGTCAAGATATAAGAGATAAAAAGGTCAAATGTGCAAATGAGTGAAGAAATATGTATTTCAGAAGCTCAGCATCTATAGAGAAGGCATGCAATTTAGTAAATGTTTAAATTATCTATACTACTTCTAAAATTCATAAGAGCTTCATCAATAATTTTCAGAAGATATTTAGTGTAGAAATTTTATTGGACCCCACAAACTTTTCACTGGTTCCATTCACTTAGTAGCGCCTCCTTTTTCCATGTTCTATCTCCTTATTGTCCTCACATTTGAGAGCAAAACACAAATAATCATGCAGCTACAACCAATACTTCAGTCTCCCCCACTATGACCTAGAGGTGCAACTTCCTAAGAAAACCAAACACAAAGATATTTGATTTAAGAAGAAAGGTACATTGAATATTTTTTTATTGCACTCTGTCATTTCCATTAACCTAAGTTAACTTAGCATGATTTTGTGTTCATGTTTCTTACAGTGAGTGTGTGTGTGGGTAGACTATGTATAAGTCAAATTATAAAATACAAATCATGCTCAAAATAATTATGAATATAACTTTATGTAAAAGGTTAGCACAGGAAGGTGATGGAGGATTTGTTATGTTATCCTCTTTGGGACTCTGGTGGAGGAAGCTGACTTCTGAACACATGAAAACTGAAAACACAAGTTGGTGGTGAGAACACTGCGTGCTGTGCATTCCTGTGGAGCTCAGCCATCCGACTGTAGAGAAGTACCAGTGTCTAGACATTTTCTTTTATGCCCAGAACAGTCAGGACAGTAATCCTCCTATTTATGCTTCCCACCTAGCTGAATGACAGCTGCATCCAGCTTTTTATTGGCCAAGATGGGATTTTCACTAATTTTTTGCCAGGGCTGGCCTCAACCATGATCCTTCTGCTCTCTACCTGAATAGCTAGGATTACAGGTGTGAGCCACTGTACCCAGCCATTTCTGAAAATTTGCATGTTAAATTTCAGTGACTTTTATTATCATAGCACATGTGGTTTAGTTCTGTTTACAGACAGCATTTAATTGACATGCTTAATAACTTAGAATTAAGCTTCTCTATGTTGACCCTTTCTGCAAAATAGCAATTGATTTTAAGGCAGGTAATGCACCCAAGTATCTAATCCTGAAATAAATCCTCTTAGATATCCCTTTTAAAATGAGTAATAATTTTAATTTTTATTTGATTTTTATCTCTTTTTAATATAAATATGGTACACCCTTATGTTTGTGCACCAGAACTACATCCCAACATAGAGCCTGGCAACATTACATTAGTAAGAATGAAAACATTGCATATGCTTCTAAAGTCAAAAGAAAAGCTTTGTGGAGGAATCTCTGAATTAACGCAAGTAGTTTAGAGCATAAGACTATGGTTGATATTTAGGTGAGTGTGCAGGAGGACATAGTAAAGCCCAAAACAAATATCCTACATCTTACCAGCTTATTTATATTTCCTAACTTCTCTGTCTCCCAGTTGACATAGTTGTTAAAATGTAGATGTGAGGACGCTCCCTCCTATGCGGCAGCTAAAAGCAGCTGCTCTGAATGTGGGATTGCATTAATAGAGGCTGGGAGTGATGGACAGTTGGTGGGATAGAGAGAGATTGCATAATAGGTACCAAAACACAGGTAGATAGTAAGAATCAGTTCCAGTGTTCCCCAGCAGAGTTGGGTGATGATATTCAGAATGACGTATTTTGCATTTTATGGATAGCTAGAAGAGAGGAACTCACAGTTTCTAACCACAAAGAAATAAGTAGATGGAAATGCCAATTACCCTGATATAATCCTTACACACTGTGTACATGTATTGAAATATTATATTGAACACTATAAATATATACAATTATTGCATGTTAATAAAAAATTTAAAAATATTTGTTCAAGTGTCACCATAAGACTTGGCACATATTAAATACATAACAAATTCAATTGAGTTGATTCTGATTTTTCTCATTGTGCATCATAGAGTCAAATATTTTCTAATATGTGTAAAGATAATGTCAATAACTATTACATCATTATATTGTAAATTAATCTGCCTTAAAATTATTTCTGATTTAATTATAATTATTCAGAGTGAGGCACCTTGTAAGTGTTTAAATCTATTAAATATTACCTCAAAAGGTTATCTCATATCAATAAGTAATATAATTGATAGTGTTATAAAATCTGCCTCAATTCCTACTTAGATGCAAGCAGCCCTAGGAATAAAATGACATATCTACTAAATACAATGTGAATCACATTTGTCTTTCCCTAAATGCCAATGGAAAAATCAAAGAACTGCTTCACTTAAAACACAGAATCTCTGTTTAAGGACCAATAGTTTCTCATGTCCCTCCTCCTTTTATGTATTAGATACCAAAAGTAAGTTGGCACTGGACAAAGTGCAGTTTCCCTTTGGTTTATCCTTCAGTTGAGAGCAGAATGATGTCACTTTGTGGATGTGCCAGTAGCAGCCTTTTGTATATTCATTTGTCTCTCCTCCCTCCTGCTGGATGGACTCCTCTTGTGTTACCAATGCTTGATGAACCCCATTTCTAATCTTTAGTTGTTCCACCCTCCTCAGTTTTTATTCAGATTAGGTGGCAGAATTAAAGAGGTGAATGATGATTTCCTGCTGTGATTAAGGTAAAAATACCACTGCAGCTGGAACAAATGGATATAAAATAGCTAGCCATATTGGAAGGCTTCTCTAGGCTTCATTTTTCTTCCATTAGACATTAGCATTTAGGCTATTTGTCGTAAAGTGTCAAGACTTCCAGAAGATATCATCATTACACTACTTGGTTATAGATCTAGAGAGCAGTATGCAGTGATACCCTATTATGCTTGCAAACTGTCACCTGGGTGTCTTCCATTCCTTGACTGTGCTTTGAGTAGATGAATGTCTTTCTCTTTCTGAATATTTGGAGCCAGAGACTAAACATCACCATTCTAATCACTAAATCAATTGTCCTTAACCCAATTCTGCATTCCTCTCTGAACTTCTCCCACTACAGTCAATTAACATCAAAAATGAACATTTACTGCACCCCAAGAGGCCCTAGAGGACTAGAAGAGATTCATATGAAGCAAGCGAAGGTGGCAGTCCATTGTCAGTCTGTATTTTGAAGATAGTTGATTTTTTTCCCTTCTAAATTAATGATTGCAGGTTGAAGTCTGTACAAAATATGCCTGTGTGAAAAGCAATGGAACTCGAATCACCACGGCAGAAGATACTCCCAGTGATATACCAACACCTATAATTCATGGCATCACATCAAGGTACCAATTTTTTAATCAATTAAAGAGTTTGATAGTAAGAAATTATAACAAAATCAAAGAAATCATTTCAGCTGTGAAGAGTTGCTATAAGTATGCATGTAGATCTAATTTTTGGTATTTTTTCCAGATTTTAATCTTCACTGAACATCCAATAGTATTAAACTGATTTCTGTGATTGAAATTCTCTTATTTAATAATCTGTGAACAAATACTTAAATGTACAAGAGCCTATTTTTTAAAATGTGGTCTGTAGTGAATCTTTTTATAAAACAAAGTACAATTTTAATTGGAATGACTACCTTGTAATGTAATATCTTTAAAAATATATTTATTTATGTATGTGAGATTGCCCTTAAGTTAGAAATATCTGTCTATATCTTAAGCTGACTGAAATTACCATAAGAAAGGAATGAAGAAAATTACAGGAGATAAACCAATTGGAGTTACAATACATACATACATGGAAATACCACAAGGGAACACCCTGTGTTTATATCTGTAGCCTTTTGTTGCTGAGAAATGGCCATAGTTTGAAAGTACATAATTTACAATCATTATTAACAGTCCTAAGAAAACTTAATATCATTTCCCAATCCCAAAGTGAGATGCTTATCCACCCATGTGCATCAAGTGGAGGCTAGAGAAAGAAATCTGAGCATGCCCACGTTGTATTTTTGCCTTTCACCTACACACATATGTACAAATACAAATACGCACTGAGAGCATGAAATAATCAATCTGTTAGACAATGTTGTAATTCTGAAAGAGTCATTCATAACAGATTGAAATTTCTAGGCCTTTTTTTAAAATCAGTGCAAAAATAGGTGTAAGGGCCTTGACAACTAATGACTAAGGTAATTAAAATAACCCAATAGCCTAAATAACCGAATTCTTAGCACCTCGTGGCAAGAGTCATGTTGACTTAAGTGTGTTTTCTACCAAACACATGAATGCTGATCTGATTTTTGATGTGCTGTTTAATTGATAATCCTCAAGGTAGATTTTTCCTTACTTATTCAAGGTAGACATGTCTGTACCATGCAGGGCGGAAATAGTCAAGTTTAACGGACACCAGAGACTTTTATTTATTCTTTCATTAAATACATTTGTGGCTATAATACAATAGGAGTCAAAATGAGAATAACACATGACTCTAAATTTGCAAAGTTCCAGCCTGCTGTGGGAGACACTCCTCTAAATAAAGTACGTTATAGCACAATGTGAAAAACGCTACAATTGACATTTCAAGTATGTGCAAGAAGAATGCAAGGAGAAAAATTCCAAACTCTACCCAGCATTGCCAGTGAAGGCCTCCTGGAGGATGAAACATTTGAATTTATCCATGAAAAAAATCCAAGGAAGATTGGATGTTGTCAAATTCTTGTCTCTTAACACCTGCAGGAATCAAGTCTAGGTGAATGGGACAAAGGACTATGTCTTAGATAACATGCTTATTTGCTACTAAAAATAATCTCAAGCCCTTATGATAAATTGAGCAAATGTGTGTTTCTACATTTTGTCCTTTAAGATTTTTATAAGTGATAACAGAAGGAAAATAATGTTTATTGTACTAAAGATTACTTATATCCAAATAAGTTAACTTAGTGGCAGGACCATTTAAAAAATCAGTATACAACAAAAGCAAGAAAATTGAGAAGAGAGATAGCAATAAAAGAGAGATTTCAATACAATTTTAGAAGTGATATTTATGAGGAAGAGGAAAATTTAGTTCAGTGGAGAAATTTACAACCAAAATATATTGGTTGGCAGAGGAGAATAGTAACAGGAAACAAGTGAATTTTCCTGCAGAGATTCTGAGCTTCTAAGCACTTAAAAGCTTGAAGGATTGTGAAGAGGGCAGGAAGGTGGGATAAGATTCAAAGCTGAAATCATGAGATTAACTGAAAGATGATTGGTACCCAAGGTTGCTTACCTCTGTATATATATGCAAGTTCCTATTTCACTTCTCCCACAATGCAAAGTTCATCTACCAGGATGTTAGACATACATGCTCCAGAGAAATTGAAAATGAACAATGGTAAGAATTAAGGATACTAGACACAAGGTAGCTGAGATGAAGGACAGAGGTAAAAAAGAAATGATAAAGGGATACTATGACACAAATAGCGGGACCCTTGGTTCCTTTCCCCAGTTCTGCTCTCAAAAGTAAGTAGTCAGTAATTAATGCCTCCTCATAAGAAATTGGACATTCTTCTCTAGAAAAAAATGAATGACCCCAAATAAAATACCTTCAGCTAGCAGCACATGGGGATCCTCCAAAAAAAAAAAAAAAAAAAGAGTTTGCCACCTGACACTCAGTAGGGAAGTATCTCAAACGACAAAACTCACTCATGCAGCATGCAGTCAGCTGGTTTTCTTTTAACCTTTATTGTTATGATGGGTGGGGTTCATTGTGGCATTTACACAGGTTCTTACAACATATCAAATCTATCATAGTTGAATTTACCTCCTCTACCATTCTCCTTCATCCCTCCTTCCCCCAATTCCTGGAGTTTAAATGGGTATCATTTTTGCATTTACTTACATGTGTACACATTGTATTGCACCGTATTCACTCTTCTACCCCCTTTCCCTAACATCTCCCCCTCCTACTGGTGCCAACCCTTCTCCCTGGGCAGGACTTGTTCCGCCTTCCTGTTCTTTGATTTTATAGGAGAAACAAAAGAAAAGACAAAATGAAAAACATGAAGTTTTAGCTTGATATAAACACAGGGTGTTCCTTTGTGGTATTTCCATGTATGTATGTATTATAACTCCAATTGGTTTATCTCCTGTAATTTTCTTCATTCTGCCTTAATCCCTTTCTTATGGTAGTTTCAGTCAGTTTAAGATTTCTCTATTCATTCTTGTATAATGAGCATATCAACCCTATTCAAGTTCTTAGTTTCCCTACCTCTCCCTGTGTGAACTCTCCTTACTGTGGGCCAGTGTTTCATAATATCAGTCAGCTGGTTTTTTGTTTTGTTTTGCTTTTGTTCTGTTTTGGTTTGGTTTGGTTCATTACTCTTAAAGCAAAATAAACGATTTAATAGACTCACAAACAATGCAGGTGAGGAAAAAATATTATAACCTCAAAGAAATAAAGGACCCTCTATCCATGAAACATGCACAGGGTACTAGAAAAAAGTACTAGAAACAGGGCACTAGAATAAAGGAACAATCAATGGTAGGAGGAAGGGACCACACAGTTATTAGAAGTCTGAAAGCTGAGTTGAAACATTGGAAGAAAATTTGAGGGACTGTCCCTGAAAATACAATAAAAGATAAAGATAAAAAGGAAAAAATGTTAAGGAAACATCTACAAAGTACAAAATTTGAATAATAAAAGTTCTGTAAAGAGAAAACAGAAGAGAAAAATAATCAGAGAAAGGCACTAAGAAAATATTCTAGAATGAAAGTCACTGGGACGCAGATTTAAAAATTCCTCATGTGCCAAAAAGTGACTGAAAAGGAATTACACATAAAGAGATGTTATCAGGAAATTTCAGAATAGCAGGTTTAAAAAGTACATTCTAAAAATTTCCAGGAAGAAAAGAAAGATCAGGTACCACATGGCATTGAGAATTTGATGAAATTAGCCATTCGTGGGAAAAACAATGAAACAATGTCTTTGAAATTCTGAATCAAAAAAGCTGTTCATTGGCCAATATCTCCCCATCCCCACCCATCCCCACCTTAGCCCTATTGAGCAGCAAGGTGCTTATAGTTAGTGATATTTATACTCATGAAAAACATGGACAGTGGATGTTAAGTACTTGCATCATAAAAATGGTAGCTATGGGGCTGGGATGTCACTCAGTGATCGAACTCTTGCCTAGCATGTGTGAGGCCTGGGTTAGATTCCTAGCACCAAATAGTTACCATTTTTTTGTCTTTTCTCTTTTGGTGCATTAAGTCAAAATATTCCCTCCTGCTGCTCCCTTATTGCAAACCCCTCTTTCAGCCTTTCCTGAACAGAACACTGTACTTTTCTAATCTCTACAACTTTGCCTTTTCCATATAGTTGTATAAATGGAATCAAACAATATATAGTGATTTAACTCTGACTTCTTTCACTTGGTGCAATGCATTAAAGATTCATTCATCTTGCACATACTAGTACTAGTTACTTTTTGCTACTGTAAGGTATTCTATTATATGAAAGTACCACAATTTGTTCATAGTTTGAGTAGTTTTCAGTTCTTAATGACTATGGAGAAAGTTGCTAAAAACATTTATATACAAGATTTTGCATGGACATTGGTTTTCATTCAATTCACTTGGGCAAATGAATTGGATGATTGAGTCATAAGCACCTGCCAAAGTGACATCTTGCATTCCTACTAGCAGAATATGAGTTTTTGAGTGATCCACATTTTCACTAGAACTTGATGCTTTTTTCTTTTCATAGCTATTTAATGGTGTATTATTACGATGTAGAGTTACATTTCCCTAATGACCAGTGAGATTTATCTTTGCATGTGTTTGGCATTTCCGTCGAAGTGTCTCATCAAATTTTACCAATTTGTTCATTGGATTCTTTGTTTTCTTATTATTGAGTTTTTCTGTATGTATGTATACATATATATATATATATATATATGTGATATAATTTAATATCAAATAATTTCCAAACATTTTCCCCCAGTCTATGGCCTGTTTTTTCAGTTTGCTTGTGTCTTCAGCAGAGAAAAGGTTTTAAATTTCAATATTCTGATTTATCATTTTTTCTTTTAGAGCTTATGTATTTGGCATGTGTACAAGAACAACTTGTTTGACTCTAGGTCACAGTTTCTTCTAGATTTTCCTCCAGAATGTTCACATGTTTATATTTTGAATTTACATCTGCAATTAATTTTGTGTTAATTTTTCTATAAACTGAGGTGTGGGACAAGGTTAACTGGAGGGAGTTTTTTTTCTCCCTCCTTTGTTAGAGCAAGCTTTCTCTAGCTCCTGGTTATTATTGAACCTAACTGGGACTAACTGTGGGCAACTGGAGA